GATTGTAATGGGCAATCAAATTATTTTATATAACAAATTATTGCTATTTTCCTGTTAGATTTTTATTAGATCATATTTCACTATAACTTTTAAACATATTTTATATATAATTTTATTGTATAATTTTATTTATTTAAGCGTATTAAATTCATCTATTTAAAGGTATAGTAAATATAAACTAATAAAATATAATTATTATGAAGCATTCAAAAGATTATTTAGTTAAATAATGATTTTTAATTAATAAAACTTAATTAAGACATGTTTTAAAAATTTCTTTGGTAACAAGTGACTGATTTAAAAGTCAAAAAAATTTTTTTTTTTTTTAAAGGTGCGACTTTTTCAAGAGCTTGAAACTTGCTAAATTTTGTAACTATTTTTTGCAAAGGTAGTTTAAAAGGTTTTTTATATTTAATAAAAAAATAAGTTTTTGTGATTTTAATTTTTGAAAAAATGTTTAAAGACCTCAGGATAACAAACCTAGTTTATGTAATTTATCAGTTAATGCAATTTAAGAATTCATAGTGAGAATAATATTTTAAAACAATACTTTTTTCATTATATGACATTTAGAATTATATTAATTTTTTGGACCATTATATTAACATGAATAAAATAGCTGTTGTTAAAAAAATATTTTTAATAAACTTTCACGAGTCTATACCAATACTATTTGTGAATGAGTCCACGCATGTGTATTCATATAAAGAATGCTTAATGCAATTAACAAAGCAGTAATGAAGAAAAACACTAGATAAGTTCTAAAAAATTTATATCCAACACATAAAATGACAAATGTTCTTTTCTAAAATGCTAACCATAACCTAACATTTAATAAAATAAATCTAGAGGGAAAAAAAAAAAAGAAAAAAAAAATATATTACTTTCAAGATATTTGGCTAATTCAGCATCCTGTGCTTTTATAGCTAACAATTGAGGAGTATTACCCTAAATATGAAATAATATTTAGTTTCATTATTACAATTTAAACAAATAACTTCAATAATTAATAAACAACAAAAAATAAAAAATATGACCTCAGTATCTTGCCGAGTAACAGAAGCACCACCACGGATTAACTTGCGACATATTGTGCGTCTTTTAGAAAATGCTGCAAGATGTAATGGTGTATGGTTCTCGTTGTCAACAAGGTCAATTATACTACAACTGAAATCTTTGTCACTTTGACTTTCAACTGAGAAATAAAAATCTACTGTTTGCAGCTGTTTTTGAATTTATTTTATTTAGATACACATATATACACACATTATGTACATACATACATACAAACATACATAAATACATACATACATACATACATACACTAGAGCTCTGTAAATCAATATTTTTAGTTTTGAATTAAATCTTAAATTAAATCAGTGTTTGATTTGTAAATTGATCCCAACTTTAAATGGAATCATTTTTTTTATTTTATTATAAAATCAGAATTTTAAACATTTTGTTGCTCTTACCCAAACTAAATATTTTACATTTGTTTGAAAAATTTATTGCATTTAATGTAGATAACCTTTTTCTATCTTTCCACAGAGCTTACTGTAGATAGCTTAATGTAGATAAAGTAGATAAGCTAAAAAATGTAGATAAGCTAATAATGTAGATGATGTAGATAAACTAATAATGTAGATGATGTAGATAAGCTAATAATGTAGATGATGTAGATAAGCTAATAATGTAGGTGATGTAGTTAAGCTAATAATGTAGATGATGTAGATAAACTAATGAAAATAATGAAGACAATGTAGATAGGCTTAATGTGGATAACCTTTTTCCTCTTTCCAGAGAGCTTTCTGATAAGCAGTTTGTGGTTTGAAAAACAAGATTATTTGCAACATTAGATATCAAAGGAAAAATTCCATATTTTTCTTTTGATAGAGAATGATTCAAAAATTTATATAGATTTAAATTAAAAGTTCCCTATGATGGATACAAATTTTTATTTAAATTTTTCTATCAGGATACACATTTTAGAGCTATGTTCAAAAGTTTAATCTTTTATATATACATACACACACACACACACACACACACACACACATATATATATATATATATATATATATATATATATATATATATATATATATATATATATATATATATATATATATATATATATATATATATATATATATATATATATATATATATATATATATATATATATATATATATATATATATATATATATATATATATATATATATATATATATATATATATATATATATATATATATATATATATATATTCTTAAGAAATATATTGGTTTAACTGAGGATGAATTGAAAAAATGTTATGCCAACCACAAACAATCTTTTAAACAGAGAAAACACTCAAAAGAGACTATGCTGTCAAAATATCTTAGGAAACTAAAAGGAAAAACAAATTAATTTAAATTAAATTGGCTAATTCTAAAATCTGCACCTGCCTATAATTTTTTGCATGGTATACATTTCCGAAAAATGTATACTATGTTTCCTAATGAACTATACTATGCTTTCGTATGCAGTTTTTCTAATATTTTTTTGTGCTCTTTATGTAAAAAAGTCCAATTTAATTTTTTAGAAAAAGAAAAAAAAAACAAAACAAAAAAAAAGAAGAAAAGATAGCTGCCAAGGCTCAGTCAATGTAGCAGCACTTCTTTGCAGCAACAGCAGGATTTAAGATAGTCAATGTATATATTAAAGCCCTCGCAATTTCCTATTTTTTTATAACTTCATCTGTGTGTTTCTAATGCTACATTTATACATGTAAATATGTATATATATATATATATATATATATATATATATATATATATATATATATATATATATATATATATATATATATATATATATATATATATATATATATATATATATATATATAGGTTGTTTTTTTTAAATTTCAATTCACTTCCCTAAGGTCATTAAAGCCACTACAGTTGAGAAGTAGTGTACTATAGTTATGTCATTTAGTTAATAAAGTGGCTCGCTATACTTTTTGTTAGGTCTTTGTGTTTAGGTGTATGAATTTGATGTTATTTTGATAACTCTATTTATATTCCTTTAGATGCTTTCCCAATTAACTTTTTATGGCCCTGTTTTGAATGTTTTCAGACATAGGTTAAAGTTCCAGCTGTCTGAAAAAAATATTTTTTATTTCTATCTTGCTGTAAGAATTGCCTCATTTCTATAAATTCTTCAACAACAGATTTTTCGCAAGTAACTTTTGCAAGCAAATTTGTAGAACCCAAATATATATATATATATATATATATTGCTAATTCCATAGTTCAGTGACGCAACATGCGGAGAGATTTTCTTTAATAAAAATTTTTCTGTAACTCAAAAAAAAATTTTTATTACTCCAAAATAATCTTGAATTAAAATTTTATAATATAAATTAAAAACAATTTTATTGTAACAACAATGACACAAGACATAAATTAAAACATGAGTTCAGTGACGCAACACGGAAAAAAGTGTTTTTTTATCAGCATGTTTTCAAACAGAATTTTCTTTGAAACTTTAATTCTTGCTAGACTAATTAGATTTTGTTGTTGTAATTTATTCATTTGGCAATAAGCCAGTCATAAAAAAAGCCATAAACAACGAAGTTTTCATATCGATTTATTTTACAGAAAAAAACTATCAGTTCAGTGATGCAACGTTCAGTGACGAAACAAAAAATGGAATTAAAATCATGTTTAAAAAGTTATGTTATTTTGTAATAAATTTTAATTATGTTCAGGTGAAAATAACATGGGAACAACGTTATCATTCTGAATATAAAAATAATGTGACTTAGATATATCTTTGATTTTTTTTGAATAACTTAAAATTGAACTGAATCCAAGTTCATTTTTTTGTTGTCTTGTGTCGCTTTCTGAAATATGAATTACAGATATTTGCAAATCTTTTAATGCTAAAGCAAAATCAGCTGCTGACTTGATCTCGCATTGACTAGATTTAACTCTCAGCACTGCGATTCGCTTAACAATAGCTCCAATCCCGTCAACCACTCCTTTTCTGTGAATTGCTGCAAAGAAATGCCAGAAGAATTTTTTATTGAAATGTTTTTCAAACACAACCATTGCAGCCATAATGCTTTTGTTTTTAAACTGAGGAGTGGCATTGTCGCTGAACATGTGTACTTCTTTGACTCGATTAGGAATAAAGTGAAGGATTTTGTCGATGTACGGTATAGCTGAAGACTTTGTATGATCAGTAGAATCAGAAACTATAGCAAATGTTTTTAACTCAACGTTCCAGACTGCAAAGGTCATGATAGAAACTTGATTTAGGCCAAAATGAGCCGTTTGCGGTTCATTTTGATAGAAACACCTAGCGTTCTCAGCCCAGTCAACTTAAATTACCGTAATTTCAGAATTAATATTCATCGAAACTTCCTTCAGTTTCTTAAAAATTGTCGATTGGTTTTTCTTTATAAATGCGTGTAAACATCATATCCAGCACATATCAGCGATGCGTTATCACGCATGTTCCCATTTTATTTATATCGCTTGTTATAACGTTGTTCCCATTTTATTTATATCGCTTGTGAACGGTTCACAAACAAAGTTATTTATCATTTCAGATTCAACTTTGATTGAAGGCGCTTGAATTGATTTTGTTAATGCATCTAAGGCAAATCGCATATCTTCATGCAAACTACAAACACAAACATTATGTGGACAGATTTCACATTGCGTGGACAAAGTTCGCAAAATTTGCTGAGTCCAATTTTGATGTGCTGATGCTTTTCCTTAAATAGCTCAAAAGCTTCTTTTAGTGTATAATATAAATGACGTATTGGAATATAGTTTGTTTTTCCGTCAGATAATTGAATTCGAGTGACATCTTTTTGTCACTGACATCTGTTTGCTGATATTTGGGAAACTTCATCTTCATTATAAAAGTTTACAACTGCTAAAACATCGCTTTCAGAAAGACCATACAGCTTTCAGAAAGACCATACAGCTTTTACTTCTAATTTTGATTCTATTTCTTAAAAGTGTATAACTTTATAAGAAAATGCCAACATAAATAAATAATTTACAAATATTTAACGAGAGCCCTTCACAAAATTAAAAAGCAAAATTTAATCAATCAAACCCACAACGAAATCTGAATTTTTAGATGATACTTTGACTTCCTTACCGCGTTTTTTTTTTTAATTATCCCGTTGATGGGTTCAGTGACGCAACAGCTTTTAAACATTAAATATAAGTTAATATAATGCTTTTTAACCAATTTTTTTTAAAATAGTGATAGAAAGTTCACACTATAATATAGAATATCTAAAAAAACCTTGCCCTAAAACCTCATTTCATAGTGATAAATAAACTTTTTTATCTTTAAGTTCAGTGACGCAACCTAATTTTTGCAGATGTGTATGTGGTAAAAAACACTTGAATTTAAAATTTTAAAAAAAAGTTTAAAAGTGTGTAAACTCAATTCATTCATATAATCTCAAGAATCTTTTTAAATAAAAATATGGATATATTTTGCTTAGAATGTTGCAATAACCTGTCCTTAAATTTTACTAACTTTTTCAAATAATAAAAAGAGAAAACAACTGCTAGCATTCATCAAATTTATCAACTTGGTTCAAATATTTGCTATTCAAAATTTATTTTAACAATAATTTTAAGGTGTTTAAATTACAATTAAAGAAAAAAAGTATTTAAAAAAAAGAAATTTTTAAACACAAAATTTATCCCTTCCATCGTGGAATTAGCCATATATATATATATATATATATATATATATATATATATATATATATATATATATATATATATATATATATATATATATATATATATATATATATATATATATATATATATTTATATATATATATATTTATATATATATATATATATATATATATATATATATTACAAAACAATAAAAGATGATAAACTTTACCTTGATCAATAATATAATTAACAATCGATTTCTGGCCATTCTTTGAAGCTAAATGAAGTGGAGTCAACCCTGAAGAATCACGAACTGTTAAATTTATACCAGCCTGATGGATTGCTTTAAACTAATAAATAGAGAGCTTTTATTATGAAAACATATATACTTTTCTTGTTGCTCTAATATTAATAACCTAATTTAAAATTATCCTGGTAAAGATACAGTAAAATTGAACTTAAAAATTAGGCTATGTAGAAAGAGTACCTAGTGACAAAAAAGGGTGACAATTTGGTGACCATATATATAGAGGGAGACCATATATATAGAGATTTATTTTAAAAATATTTTGAGGGAATGTTTATATTTATAAAGACATTTTACATAGATCATTTTAGTCAAATTTTAAAAATCGGGATTATTGTTTGGATAAAATATATCTGGAAATGTTTTCCCTTACTTCCATTTAAATTTCGCATTTAGCTGAGTTGTTTTTAATTTTTTTTTTCTATGGGTAAGGAGAGAAAAAGCTTAAAAACAAATATATCACAAAAATATATACTTTAACTTGCATGTATGGAAAATGTTTTGGATATCTGGAAAAATTTAAAGTTGAAAGAAATATCTGCATTAAACAATCCATATATACACAAATTTAAACTATAGATAATTATACTATGTATAACTATCTATAGTTTAAATTATCTAATTGGATTGTAGCGCCATCATATATATTTAAAAAAATTTTATGCAGTGGTTCTTTGTGTAAACTATTTTATAGTGCTGTAGTGCCATATTTTATAGTGCTCTATGCTGTAGTGCCATATTTTTGATTAAAAAGTTTGTCTATAAATTTTTAAATGAGATAAATTTGCCAGATGGATCACATATAAAAGCAGTAGGAAAAAAAAAAACATTTTAAAGATTTTAAACTCAGAACTTCAAATTATTTTGTGGACCCAAAAGCTAATGGATTTTTCTCCTCCCAAAATACTTAAACCGAGGCTTATTTATTTTACTATATAGAATAACCAATTTCGAAAAACTTTTTATAATTTTATTTTAATACCAATACTGAAAAACTAAATTAAACCTGATGAAAATTCCCTTTCTGAGCAGCATCAAGAAAAGCTAAAAATTATTGTAAACATTATTTACTTCATAAAATAATATAATGATAAAATATAATATTAACTAATAAAATAAAAATTTCAAATTGAGAAGACTTACCTCTTAATCGTTCATTGTCATCTTTTGGAATGCTGAAAGTAAAATATTGTTTAAGAACATTTCACACATAAAGGAATTAACAAGCATTTATTATGAAATATGTAATTTCTGAGATTAATAATCTTTAGTTTTTCTGTTAAACTAATCAAGTTTTTTTGATTGCTAATGCTTTATTTCTATTGCTTAGGTTTATAGTATTCTTGATATCATCAAGAACACTATAAATCTTCCAATCATCAAGAACACTTTAAATCTTCCAATCATCAAGAACACTATAAATCTTCCAATTATGCTTCAATTGATGGTAAACCATTTAAAAAAAAAAATTATCTCCAAGCAACAGTTTTTGCTCTCAGTCAAGTCATATTTATTTAGAGAGTTACTAGAAAGAAAAGAAGAGAGTTAGAGAGAAAGAATGTCAGGATAGCTGAAACATTCAATGTGATGAGAATTAAAGCCACCAATAACAACAATATCAGCAGATTATTAGTGACCTGTGTTAAAATTTGACTGATGCCAGGGTTAAAAAACTAATAAAATGGTCGGGGTCAGGTTTGTAACCGCCTTGGTCACAAACCTGGCCCGGGGATTTAGGATGCATAAACATTGATGCATCTTTAAGTATATTTCTTTTATTCGAAAATAATATTATGTTATATATATATATATATATATATATGCATGTATATTTTTATATAAACATCATCACCATCACCATCACCATCATCATCATCATCATCATCATCATCATCATCATCATCATCATCATCATCATCATCATCATCATCATCATCATCATCATCATCATCATCATCATCATCATCATCATCATTAAGCTTTAGTCTTCTCTTTTTTATGCTATTTCTTTAATATAAAGCATTTTCTTTCCTCATCTTTATCGTTCATACCATATCTAATGCACTCTCTCCAAATTCTTAATTTTGAAGTTGCTTTTCTCTACATGCTGATACCCAAACTACATTAATCTTCTTTGACAAACGTTGTTTGATACAATGTTTTGTATAATTTCAAAGATTATGGCTTCTTTTCTTGTCTTGTTAGAGTCATACTACACATTCATCTGATCATCATATTCTCTTTCAGCAAATACTTTTTACATATTTATATAAATATGTAAAAATATTTTATAAAGATATTTATATGTAAAAAGACTTCTAGAAAATTTTCAACAGCATCATTAACTTAAATAAGTTTAACATTCTATCTCTAATTCCATCTCAATTTCTTAGCCAACAATTTGGATTTTACAAAAGATATTCGATTCAAGAACTTTTAACTTTGATTCAGTTTTGTAAGTTTAACAATACTGCAATCAAGAAATAAAATAAATTTTAATACTTATTTTTTATTCATATTATTCTTTATATCTTTTATTTTCTAATTTACTTTTTCTGTTTCAGATCAGTAGTAAATGAAAAAACATAAAGTAGATGACTTATCTATTTACAAAAAAAGTGAATATATTAAAACTAAAAATATATCAAAAGAATATATAAAACTAATATATTACTATGATTGTCTAAAATTAATTCTTAAAATTTTTTTTTCTTTTAATGATGCATATATAAAAGGTTTTTTTGTGGGTGTAGTTTACATCTGATTTGTTTTTGCAATGTTAAGTAAAAAGTTTGAAAATTAAAAAAATATTTTGTAATTTTTTATAAGAAAATATGATTGAAACTTTATGCAAGTGTCTAACTCATGAAAAATTTAAATTATGGAATAGGTAAATTTTAATTTAGGCTTTTAGTTTTACATTTCAGGTTTTCTTCAAACAAGTTAAGTTTGTGAAAGGAAAAGAGGTATATAACATGTATATATGAAATCTATAGAACTATAAAACTGTTTTGTTTTATAGTTCCATAGATTTCATTCTCAAAAAAGCAAGCTTATTATTTGAACTTGTTATGCGCCAACCTTAAATAAGCTGACTATTTCAACTTGCCATGCGCCAACCTTAAATAAGCTGATTATTTGAACTTGCCATGCGCCAACCTTAAAAGCAGTTATTAAAAAAGTTTTTAATAAGGACATAATTAAAAATCCTAATTTTATATTTAAAATAAATTATTTTAAAGTTATTTTATGTAAAAATAAAAAGAAGTTAAAAATACTTAGTATTGAGGTAATAAGGATTTTTGGAGTTTTACAGCTATTTTCCCACACATTCTATTAATTACCACACATATAAACATTCTAAAATATTTCAAGAGTCAACTGGGATGCTAGTAACTGAAGTATTGTATTTTTAATTATAAATAGTATGTACTTTTTGTAAATTGTTTGTTTTTAAAATTACTAAAGTTTAATTTTTTCAAGGTGTTAAGTAATGAAAATAATGTCAAGTAATTAGGTAATGCCTGTTTTGTAGGCGATGTATTAATATTGTATTTTAATAGGCTGTTAAAATTTATAGAAGGTGATGACGACCTTATTTTAAATATGTGTTTTTTATTTTTTAAAAATTGGTTTTAAATAATTTTATGTTAGATATTCAATTAGATGTGAATCTAATTATTTACTACAGTATTATAGCCTGGTAGTGATAACAAATACAGGCTGGTAGTGATAACAAATACAGAAAAGTTAGGTTGTTGCAGTTTATTTATAATGAAATATCTTACATTGCAAATTGGAGAGATTTAGTTAACTTATATCCACTTGAAAAAAACCAGTTCTTAAAGTTATCTAAGTTGAATGAAACATCAATAAATCCTAAACCAATAGAACGACAAAAAGTAAGTACTTGTTTGCAAGTATTCAGTGAAGAGACATTTGCAGCTCTAAAAACTTATCCTAAAATAGACCAAGAAAGTGTCAAGGGTACTATTATATTTTTGGAGTTGATTATAGATTTTTGGAAAATAGTGAATGTTAAATGTCCTGGTGCTAATCTTAGATTCAGGGATGAGCCTGTAATGTTATCAGATCTTTAGATGACGTTAACTTGAAAAAATTGCTTGCTATTGCAACAATGGCTGAAAATATGAAACCAACATCTGGTAAACAAGTTCGCCAGCTTACAAAAGATACAAGCAATGCACTTTCACATACCTGTTGAGGCCTAATTGATTTATCTTGCTATCTTTTATTAATTGGAAATGAATATGTAATTTTAGGTTGGTTTTTTTCGGATCCGATTGAAAAATGCATTGGAAAATTACGTCAAAGATCAGGTGGTACTAATTTTATAACCGCTAAATCAATTATTAAAAAAGTACGTATTCAGCATGCTAAGCTGGTGCTGCAGCTAAATATTGATGTAGAAGGAAATGATGGCCATGACTGTCTTTTATGTCTTGTAGATTTAGATGATAAGGAAACTGATATTGTTTACAATTGATCAGATCTAGAAGATATAGCATATATCCAGAAGATAGCATAAATATAGAAATTTTATATTCTATTGTCTATATTGCTGGTTATGTTCAAAAGTGTTCCCCTGAAGATATTGGAGATGATACAAATACATATTATGAAAAATACGGAAATTATTTAAAAACTTTAAATAGGGGAGGACTAACTATTCCATCTGACACTTTAACTCAAAGGTCCTTATTTTGCTATATATTTTTTTCTTTATTAGATAAAAGAGTTTGCAGAACATTTCTGATTCGACAGTTTACATTTATTGCAGAATTCTACAAATTTCTCTATATATATATCAGGGATGCGGAGTCCCAAAAGAACTCCAGCTTTATATCTCTACTTTTTCCATATCTGTAGTGTCTAGAAGCTCTAAACATGTTTGTTGACTTATGATCTGATAAAAGTAAAAAATTTGTGAGATTTGATGACTTGAAACTTTTAAGCCCAAAGTCCTGGAGCCCCGGAGTCCTTGCCGCCATTATATCTAAGGACTCCGGTTTCAAAAAATAATTGTTCCTCTTACCAAAAAGTTTTAATTTTTTTCCTATTGGTAGTCCATAAACTTATTTATATTTTTAGCTCCTGGATACCAAAAACTAGGAAGAAGTAATTTTTTTGTGCATTTCATATCCAGAGTCTTTTTTGGGACTCTGCATCCCTGATATATATATATATATATATATATATATATATATATATATATATATATATATATATATATACATATATATTGTTTAATATAGTGTTGTATTAAAATAATACATAACTCTTGTTGTTTGAAAAGTGCTCAATATTTAGAAAACTTATATTGATTTTACATAAGTTTCAAAACAGAGCGGTTTATAATTAAAAAAAGAAAAAAAAAAAGTTTCATGCCTAACGACAATCATCAGCTATATCTATGGATGGATATGGCTGATGATTGCTGTTAGGTTGATCTTTTTTTGTTCCATTTATTAGTAAAATTTAGCGTTACATAATTTATGGATGATCCTATATGTAATGTATTGGACAAACCTCTGCATCTAACAGAGTAGAGACAATTTAGTAGGGAGGTGTTATATTCAAATATTTTTTTTTTCAAACAAATAAAAGGGGTAATGGTTCTAACAAGCTTTAGGTATGCAGAAAAGAGAAAAAATATAATACACATTTATTATTAAAAGTTTAAAAAAGAAAGTTTTAATGTAGAGAAGATTAACTGCTAATCAAAAGGCAAGAATTTTATCAAACAGGTCCTGACAGCTAAAGTTCAGTACTTCAAAAGCATGTCAAGTTACAAAATTAATTGTTGAAATTGTCATGAAACATTTTATAGAGAACAAAATTATAAAAGAAAATAGGGAAATGGTGGAAAATCAAAATTTAATGAGAAAAAAAAAAAAAAAAAAAGGTAAAATCAATAGTTGACTCATCTGAATTCATCCGAATCGCACAGAGTCACAATAAAAATTATGAAAGTCAATTAATTGAGAAGTAAAGGCAATTTGACGAGTTAAAAACTTGCTTAAATTAGTGACAAAAATAAATTGATGCATTTTAGAAGACAATGAAACTTACTGCAAAAAATTCACTTGATGCTTCCAGGTAATCAATACTGTTACCAGTCAAACCATTGTAAAGCGTCTGACATATTTAAGCACATTTGAGTCAAAAAATATACTTGCAAGTTATTTGTTTTTTTTTTAAACAAAAATTATGTACACATCATTTAAAAAAACAAACAGTTACAGTTAAGTAGTTTTTAAGATAATATAGTTCATAATTGTCCTTTAAACTGTTTAATACTAAATTGGTAGTTAGAACTAATTTAGGGCATTCCTTTGACATAAATTTTCATAAGTAATGAAAGTTTAAAAAAGACCTAACACAACAACATTCACAAGTTTTTGTTCTTTTTCATCATTAAAATTAACGAAAACATAGACAAATATTAAAAACAAGGTGCAAAATATTAACACTATTTATAAATAATATGTTAACCTAATATTTTCATCACAGCTTTCTTCACTTTCACTTTCTGATGAACTTTTTTCTTTATCTGAGGTGGATAGGTATAAAGAATTCCTTCTCTCACAATTCATTGAAAGTTCATCATCAATGACTGATGAAGGACGTTTTATCACATGATTAAAATTATGAGTCGAAATTGCTCTAAAGTTAAATTTAATGAAAATACTTATATATATAATAAATATGTTCCTAAATATGTTCTATATAATAAAATAATACTGGTTTTGAATCAATTTTTGAATGAAAAATAATTTTAGTGTTGTCACAAGACTCTCAAACAGCAAACAGATCCCTAAATATATATATATATATATATATATATATATATATATATATATATATATATATATATATATATATATATAATAAAAATTATATATTATATTATATAATATCATGATAGTTCTCAAATATAGCAAAACTATATCAAAACTTCAAAAAAAATCATTATTTTATAAAAAACATCAAGAAAAAAATAATAATAACAATAAAAATCAATATATTTTTATATTATGTTATAAAAAAATATATATATATTTATATCAAAACTCAACTCCAACTTGGCCCAACTCTAACACTGGAACTGCTTGTTTATGAAGGGATCACTTTACCACTACGGCACACTTTAAAGTTATTTTTATACAATATTTAACTTTAAGTTAATATATAATGTATATATCAAATAATTTGGTCAAATAATTTTAATAATGGGCTAAATAACTTCATATTGATATATATATATATATATATATATATATATATATATATATATATATATATATATATATATATATATATATATTTTTGTTATTCACCTCCTCAAGGTCGAGAAGGCCACTACAGACGAGGAGGCTACTTAATAGTGGTTATAACCCTCTCTCAACTCTATAACTCTGAAACACGAACCTTGAACAAGACCGCTGCGCAGAGAAACAAGTTGAGCGCGGTACTACCAGGGACGTGGTGGGGATCGAACTTGGAACCTCTCGCTATATATATATATGTCTCGCTATATATATATATGTGTGTGTATATATATATGTGGGTATATATATGTGTGTATATATATATATATATATACATATATACATACATATATATATACATATATATATATATATATATATATATATATATATATATATATATATATATATATATATATATATATATATATATATATATATACATAAACAAATTTCTAATAAATTAACTATATGTTTATGTATATATGTTAACTATTTGTTTATGTATATATATTTTATATATATACATAAACAAATTTCTAATAAATAACTTTGAACATCTTATGACATACAGTTGTGACGATGAATCGTGATTCTTGAAAAGATCTAGTACAAATAATCCTCCTTCTAATATATCTCCCAGATACAGCAAACTTTCCTTTAAAAAAAGTTAAATCATAGTTAAAAATGAATGAAGTAACTTATTATTAAAAATAATATTTTTTTTACTGATTTTAGTATACGTAACTGTTAACTATTAATTTGACTTTTTATAAATGCAAACAACTTTGAACTCCCTTTTTTAACTAATTGATAACTAAGTATTAAATCATTATTATACATTAACATTATTAATTATTAAATAACAAACCTTTACTAAATGAACAAATGAATGTTTTGATAACACAAATGAATGTTTTGATAACACAAATGAATGTTTTGATAGTTGCTGAACTTATATTATGATCTAGATGTTTATATATAATTATATATTTATTTGTATTTATATATTTAACTAATTTTAATTATGTTCACAACATTTTATTTCAATTGTAACAAATCAGTTCTTAGAAAAATATTACTTTAAATCAACTGTATATCCCAGGATGTTTATATCCTATCCTAAGGATGAGTAGAATCAGTAAAACCATACAAATAAGAGTGGTTAAACACAACACTCAAAAAATTAAGACTTCACACAGTGAAGGTAGAAGTACTAGTAATCCATCAAAAATGTAGGTGGTTATTATAAAATTTAAAAAATTACAATTTTATTGTTGAAGATGTGAGCTAATTTGCTTGAAGCAATTTGCTCCTAACGGATAAAAAATTGAATAATTCAAATGATTATGACTAAGTATTACAACAAAGCAAAATATATAAATATAAAATTCTTGTTGAGCTCACTATTTTACCAAAAGATGCGATTCAATCCAAATTAAATCTGGTGGAATGTGTACCAATTAAGAAGTGTATCTCAATGAGTGTATAATTAAGTATATGGTTCCACTCATTCAGGAACATCACAGAAATAGTAAACTTGAATTATAGAATAACTTAGCATTATCTCATTATGCTAAATCAGTCAAATTGATTATAATCACAAAAGGTACCACTGGTACTAAAAGACATGAATCCAGCAAACACACTAAAAACTTTTCCTATAAAGGACTTTTAGGAAATTTTTAGGAATTGACCATTTACATCAAAATTTTTTTTTCTACAAAGGTTACAAAGGTTTGTAGTTTTTGTAATTATATCTTTTATTTCTAATAAATATTTATTAAAATAAAATTATTATATTTAAAAAAGTTTTATTAGACACTATACAAATGTCTTTGGATATTTAGTTTTACTTGAAATGCTATTGATGAATTGAAATAGCTATCTGCAAGTGCTTCATTATTGTATTTAACAGGTTTAAATATAGAAGATATTCATCATAACAATTTATTATTTTTTCTTTGCCTGGGAAAATGCCCGAATTAAAGTTAGCCTTTTAAAATTTAAAGTAAACAAAATATATTTGGGGAGTGTACACCTAAATCCCCAAAAGTATATGTATACATACACCTAAATTTTATACTGCGTACATAGATAGTCATAAAATAACATTAAGGATGTAATACTAAAATAGGAACATGCAGGACCTAAAGTACAGACAGGCATATATATAGGCAGAAAGTATATCATATAAATAAGATTCACACTTGCACTTTCTTTAAGTATCTCCAGAACCTTTAGTATTATCATTATTAATGATACAACTTTTAAGATACACTTACAATATTTAGCTTCTATAATATGATACAGATTATAACTACTAATAAAGATTACTGAAACAGAATATTACTGATATTACAAATAAAACTGTACTATTACTAATAATTACTGATTATAAAATACTGACTCATTATTATTAAAAAACACTGATTCCTTATTACTATAAAATACAGATACAATATAATAAAATACTGACTTCTTTTTACTATAAAATACTGATTGATGTAACATTTGAAAAAAAGATTTTGATAAATTGAACCTAATGCATTAGATTAAAAAAAGTTTTAATTATTTACCTGTGCTTCATCAATTCTATATATTCGCACTGTCCAAGTAGCTGGAATAAAAAAAAATTAAATAAAAAAAAAAAATTAAAAAAAATCAAAATTATCGTTAAATAAAATAAATATTTTTTTTAAAATTACCATCTAGAAAACACCAATCTTCTCTTAAACGCGATTTTAAAGAATCCTATAATACAAAATATCAACACTTTATATTCAATAAAAAAATAACCAAAATTATTTTAAAATCAGTAAACATCTTTTTAACATCTTGTTAAAAAAGAGTTTAACAAAATAAAAAAGTTGATAACCTTTAGTTTAGTTGATAACTTTTAGAATTAAAACAGTTTTATAACAACAAATTTCAATAAAGTTTGAAAAACAACACTCTATAATTTCATCACAAATTGCCTACACAATTCAAAGTTCTACATTTATTTAGTATGTTAAATACTTCAATATTTTACAAAGAAATTGCACAATTTTGAGTCATTTTTAAGTTCTGTAACCTTTAAAACAAATTTTTTATCATCATTGAACAGAAATTACTTAAGATAAAGCATATCGAGTGAAGTAAATAGCAGCGCTTGAAATAATTTTTCAAAGCTTGCCGATCAAATGTTCCTTTTTTTCACAAAAACGTGTTTTTTTCCCTTGAATTTTTCGAAATTTTCCTAAAAATAGCTGATCATTGATTGTTGATCGGCTGTTATTTTGAGTGCAGAAATAGCTTAAAAAAGAGGTTGGGACAGAGTATGGATTAATTTGAAATCATAATTTGAAGTAAAAATTTTTTTTTTAATAGTTTCTTTTACTTTCTCATACTTTAATTTTTTAGTAAATAATTTTAATAGCCTGATAAAAAAAATTAAAAGCAATATGACTATGTATAATATTAAGACAAAAACTATGATAAAGTATGATGAAAAAAAAACCCAATGAAAACGACAACAAAAACAAAATGAGCTTAAAAGTTAAAATTCTTTTTTTTTTTCTTTTTCCGACTAACTATATATAGTAACTTATATTCATTGAACTTGCATTTATAAATAATAGTTATAAAAAAAAAAAAAATCTATCTTTGCTAAAAAAAAATTTTTATTTATATTTTTGCCAGAAACCTTTCGAACAAAAACAAACCTCAGTATCCTTCATTTTCTCGATTTCTCTACGCATATAATCTAGTGGCCATTCTGGATCAATGCTAACAGAGCATAATTCATTAACAACATCTTTAATTTCATCTATGTCATATTTTACTAAATTCATATATTGATTAAGAGTAAGATAGTACAATTTTGTGGACAACATTTTTGGTGTTATTTTGAGAGGTCTTTCCTCCAGATCATACAACGATCGATGTGGCTAAAACAACAAACCTAATAACAATTATTTGATTATTTAAAAACAATATATATTTATAAGATTTTTAATTTCTGATATCAAGCTAAATAATTTGATAATTTCAGGCCTTGTTTTAAATAACAAATGCTTAATGCATTAGCTTAATGTGACATCGTAAAATTATCTTTATCTTTTTATTTTTTAAGACAATAATAAGACATAAACTTTTTCAAATTACTGCAATAAAATTAAGATTACCGCAAAACGACTTAAATATTGTTTAACTCATTTATTATTATATTGATATACGTTTAAAAAAATAATTTTTATGTAAAAATTTATTTTTCTCGACATTTGTATAAACAAATTAAAATATGTTAATTAAGATAAAAAATAATAACATATTTTTTAGTCATTAAAAAAGAGTTTAATTGCACATTTTTTTTAATCATTAAAAAAAAGTTTAGTAGCACATTTTTTTTAATCATTAAAAAAAATTGTAACTAAAAAAGATTTTTTATTCTAAAAAAATTAGTGAGTAACAAATAAAAAAAATTACCTTGATTTATTTACCTTAATTTATTAAAAGTTTATTATTTTATTAGCGATTTTGTTTTGAAAGCAAAGATTATTTTTTCCAAACACCAAAATTATATTGTTGTATATCATGTATTAAAAAATAATTGCTGCACTCTACTTGCGTTATAAAAATAGTTTAACTTACGTTTTGTGCAAATTCTTAATACAGCCTCGGAACAAAATTATTTAATATTTAATTTTGAGTAAAAAAAATGTTTAGGAAAGAAAACCAAAATAACATATACCAGCTAATTTTTTTTTAAGAATAAATAAAATTTAAATATTTAACAATATTTAATAACATCTTTAAATAAATTTGACAGTTAAGTTAAACCTAAGCATTAACTTTAATTTTATAAATTTAAATATTTTATATATACTCTGTAGTACCAATTGAAGTGCGAAGTTTGTTTAAACTTGTCATGTTAACAGGCATGTGCTTTTTATATAGTTCCCGCATTTATTTGTATTGTTTGAATAGATTCCTGGAATTTATTAATTTATTTGTGTTTATTTGTAGATTTTTTCATAATGGATAGTATGGAAGGAAAGGGGTGTGCAGTTATAGCATTATTATTAGACAGGAAGAGAAAACCATATCGGATATTCAAAATGCTGCAGCATAAATATCAAAGGATTTTGTCTATCATACTCTTAAGCGATATAATGATAGTGGTTCTGTCAAAAAAGGTTATCCCCTCAAGCGATCACTTTTCAGAGAATGGGATGCTTTATCCATGGATACCGTGCGTAAAACAATCAAGGAATGGCGTCCAAGACTGGAGGAGTGCATACGGGCAAAAGGGGGTTATTTCGAGGACTCTCTTTATTAATGTGTACTTTAGCATTTTAACTAAAACATAACATGCATATAATATGTATATATTACTTTTGTTCTTGCATTAAAAACATGTTCTCTTAAATTTTTTTACTGAATTAAAATTTCGCACTTCAATTGGTACCACTAGGTATATATATATATATATATATACCTAGTGGTATATACCACACTTCAATTGGTACCACTAGGTATATATATATATATATATATATATATATATATATATATATATATATATATATATATATATATATATATATATATATATATATATATATATATATATATATATATATATATATATATATAGTGGCCGATTAAGACTTCTTGGGCCCGGGCTTATTTTGTTTTTGGAGGCATTTTTATGGGCCAGAGCCTAAAAATTACTATTAAAAAAAATATATATATATTATATATATATATAAATTTAATTTAAAATTAAATTACATTTTTTATATAAAAATAAAATTATATTTTTGTTAAATTACTTTTGAATTTAATCATTTTTTTTTTTTTTTCAGAATTAAATTACATTATAATGATTTTTGCTTCAAGTTTAAAGTATTAGCGTTTTTCAAGTGAAAAAATCGATCATTACAATAAAATAAAAAATTAAGTATAAATTATTTATTACTATATAGAAATTTAATAAAAGTAAATTTTTTTAATGCAATCAAAAGCTGCATAAATAATTCTTGTCCTCTCAAGATGATACATAAAAGTTTTTATTATATATATTTCTTTTATGTTTTCTTTTTTTTTAATAACTTTGCATTAAAAAAAACTATAAACAATTTTATTTTCTGTTCCATAAAATAATTAGTTTAACAGAGATTAAGTTTTTGCAGTTTTAAAATAGTGATTCAACACTGGAGTCCTTTTTAAGACTTCTTTGATTAATGAATTTTTTCAAGAAAAAGTGACTTTTTAATCTCTCTCATTCACTGTTTCTAACCTTCTGTAAAAGGAAGTTTGATTAGGATATAGTACATACATCAACTGAGGGTTTTGGTTTAAGCAGCCATAATCTAGATATGAAGGATTTTTATTAAAAAAACAACAACAAATTTTTTTGTTGTTGTAATAAAAGTCGTTTCTTTTTTCTTTGAGTGGAAAACTATCTGAATTAATGTCAAATTTCAGAAAATGAAAGTTACATATTTAATTTTTCTTTACTAATCACTGATCTGTTTAATAACATTAAGCACTCTTTTTGTAGAATACACTTTTTCAAAAGATATCCTAAAGATCTTTGATAAACACCATAAAAAAAATACATGCCAGTTTTTTTTTTTTCTTTCTACAAGCTAACATTTGTGTTGAATAAGAATTTTGATTTTTTATAATTAAAGTAAAACAA